TCTCCTCTCCTCTCCTCTCCTCTCTTCTCCCATACCTACAGAGCAAAATGGGACCATAGAAGCGATTATTTGTTAGACAGAATTGATTTTTTACTATATGCTTGGTGAAAGTATATCCCTTGTACATCAGGACTGTAAACAGTCTTTAGCTGAGAGAAATATTAACTGTGCAAAGATTTCTTGTTCAAGCATGCAACACAGTGGGAAATTCTAATAGAATCTGAAGTCTCATAGTCATCCTTGCTGGTCTGTGGTCCCACAGTAATCACATCTGAGTCATTTCTGCATAGGCCTTTGTAAAAAAATCCTTTTGGGATTGGCGGAGTGAGACAGATAAAAGACCATAAAGCACCTCCACAACTAACTCTGTTTACAATAAGTACAATTACTGATCCAGCCGATAGACTGCAGCAGAATATGTGGCCCCTTAACTGTCCTCTGGAACATTTTCTCATTCACCCTTGTTTTACTCCATTCACATGGTATATTCTTTCTGGGATTTTGTGTGGAAACAACAACTCTCTCCTTAAGCCTTTACAGGTACAAATTAAATATGGAGAAGTCTGCCTTTGGACCCACTTCTTGCATCACTGAACCTCTTTGTTTCCTGTACTTTCTTCCATCCTGCAATTTTCTTTTTGCCTTGAGGAGTTTATAAAACAAAAGTGTATATATGTGTATACATAGATCTCATCTTAAAACATGGTAGCAAACCACTGTTGTTATTCAACAAAAAATTCCATCCTTAAATTACTACTAATAAGATTTTTTTTTAAAGACCTTTCAACGTAGAACTTACAGTTTAGGTTTAAGGTATGGAGAAAACAAAGATTTTTAGAGGTATGGAGAAAGCAAAGATTTTTATAAACCTTCCATGGTCTTCTGCTAGCTTGGACATCCAACTAGCATCAAGTGCAGTAGATGGAGTATGCACTTGATACCTAACTTATGTTCAATATAATGAACGTGCTTCAATTTATTAGTTAGAGATCAGAAGAGTTACTCTGAATTTGTCTTCACTCCAGTTTGTTGTCTGCTTTGCCCACTGCACCTTGCATCACAGATGAAAATAGAACATACCGAAGTGAAGACACTTCTGCTACAATTTTAAGTGTATATTCATCAACTCTTGTTCAAAAAGCTCAAAGTCACTTAGATAAGGATATTTCTCAAACAGGTGATTTTTATGTATGGCAATGCATAATGTCTGTAGCAAGCCCAGGATGAAACTCATGGACAATAATTTACAGAAATAGTTCTTTTTTTTTCTGGTAATATCAAAAGGGTTGGAAACAGATTACTCTTTCTTAGACAAATATAAATGTGTATTGATTGCTTAAAGGTACCTGAAAAAAAAGGAGACAGTAACAAATTAAGAACTCTGGAGAAATATATTTATGTTAGGTTTCAGTATAAGTGAAAACTTTAAGCATTGTAAGCATAATCTGAAAGATTATACCTTTTGTACATTTTAGGACAAACTATCGTTATCCCTAATTGAGAAGTCTCCTTCTCACAGTATGTATGTACCATGGGCCATGGTATGGAAGGGAAGCTAGCCTTGTTTGCAGTCATTCTTACACAAATCTCTGGAAAATCATAATATTTTATTAAAAAAGAAACTTGTTGTTTGTTGGAGGCTCAAATACTCAGAGGTCAATCAAATCTAGTTTTAGAAAAACTAAGTACTCACAGCTGTAGGTCAGGTGTAATGAACAGTGAACTGCAAACACTTTGATAACACCGCAGCTGGTACTTCATTAAACTGAAATACTTTTTGCTAACTAAGTTTCAGCCCACATTGTGAATTAGCATCTTAGGGAGCACAATATTATGTCTGTGCAATTAGATAGTCAAGAAAATTTATTAGAAGTCTGCTATATTTTATGGTTAAGCAAAAAACAGTGAATCAGAGTTCTTTTGTATCAGCCAAAGGGTAGCAATGACAGTGCAGCAGCAGCCTACGCACACCCACTCCGCACACCATCCCACTCTGCTGCTGACCACTACTCTGGAAATTCAGCTTTCATTGAAAAAGTAAATTGTTGTCGCAGTTGCTCAGAAGTCCTTGGAAATAAAAACAGAAAATAAACTCAGTACCAGAGTGTCTTGCAGGAGGCTCAGAACAACCATTCTAAGCAAGGAAAATAATCTTGTAAATCTCATAAGAAATATTAGCTCTTTTAAGAGAGAGAGTATCTGAGTATCTGACAGAGTTCTACAGGTCGCTGCATGTGATGCCTCAGGTGGGAAGCAATAACTCATTGTTTTCCCTTATCAAAACAAGGAACTGAGATGTAATAGGAAAAAAAAAAATCATAACGTTGAGGAATATGTGAAGCATAGTAAATGCAAAACATTTCAAAATGTCTTGCCCTTTGTCTGATAAAATCAGTACTAAAATATTTGGCTTTAAAGACTACATCTGTATGGAGTTAGCTATGTATGGCATAGCTAACACTGGTAACCTAAACCCCTGACAATTACAAGCAGGCAAACAGAAGAGGGTTTTATGGTTTACTTTATGCCAGCTAGCAAGATTATGTAAGTCCTGCAGAAACACTGCTGTTTCACAGATCTGCGTCTCCATCAGGGTCCAGCCCTAACAGAGGTGCAGCTGGAGAGCTGCTGACATGATGGTGAGACCTCTTCAGCTCTCCAACACCTCTTTCCCACCCCAGCATTAGGAGGGCCTTGTAAAAGCCCTGTCTCAGCAGAAACCTCCATGATCTCATGCAAGGTGCGACATTTATTGACTTCAGAAGGAACATTTTTTTCAAATCATACTTGGAGACAAGTTTGCCACCTGGTCATATGATGTGGGAAATAGGAATGAAAAGACGAAATAACAGGGGCAGCTCTTCGTATTTCAAGATGGATTTGGAGGGGTACTGCAAGAGAGAAGGGAGGAAAGAGAAAAGAGCAGCTACTTTCTTGTATCTTTTTCACTGTGCCTTTTACCTGATACCTTATGAATTTGTTGTCTTCCCCCTCTCTCCTCCCTCCAGTGTTTTTACTACCAGCCTTCTGAAAGGTTACACATACGATAGTCAGATCCTCATCTGATATCTGTCTCTTGTTGCTGATTTATGAATTCTGAACCTCTTCCATGCTGATTCAACTTTTCCCATTATTCTTTCCTCAATTGTACAAGTCAACTACATTGGCTTCTGTAGAATTACTCCAATTTAAATGAGATGAGAATCTGGCCAATAATGCTCACATTAGTATGAAAATAGACATTTCTGTCTTGAAGGTTAATTTGAGTAGCTATCAGGTAAACGTCTGTCTTTTAACATTAATGTAGACAACAGTCAGAGAAATGTCAGTGTGCTAACAGTCTAACCAATATCATTTCTTCAGACTGGTTGATCTATCCTTTCAGATACTTGCATTAACCATCAGTGTCTAAACTGTGGTAAATAATATTGAAATGTGCAAATTTAACTCACTGTTAATTTTGTTGACTTGGAGGTAGAAGTTTTCAAGGTTCTCACTGACGATTGGAATGCTCTTCAACTGATTGAAGGAGAGATCCAATTCAACTAGTGATGTGATATTGAAGACATTGCCTGGTATTCCAGAATCTGTTAATTTATTGTGGGATAAACGTAAATATTGTAGGGTTTTAAAACCTTGGAAGTACTCATCAGGAACATTGGAGATCTGGTTATTATCAAAATACAGCATGAGTAAGGATTGAGGCAGTCCTGTTGGTAGCTTTGTAAGTCGATTGAAGCTTAAGTCAAGATACAAAAGTGAATTCAGGCCTTTAAAAGCCCCAGAAATAGAATCTGCTTTCAGCTGGTTGTTCTGGAGGTGAATGACAGTCAGATTCACCAGGCCCTCAAGTGCACCAGGATTGACTTTTGTGATCTTGTTGTGACTTAGTTGCAGGTCATCCAGAGTTTTGGGGAGAGGTCCAACAGCTTCAGTCAAATTGTTGTAGTTAATATGAAGTTTCTTCAGATGCTTTAGTTTGGAGAAGACTCTTCCCTTAATTTTTGAATTTTCCAAATGGTTGTGATCTAGGATCAGCCACTGTAGGTCTGTTACGTTATCAAATGTGTTCTCTTCAATGCCCTCAATCATATTGTTTCGAAGATAAAGGTATTTTATTCCACTTGGTACAATCGGAATGGTTTTCAGTTTAAGATTGTCACAATACATGGCAGTAGGGTAGCTTAAAGGACAATTACATTCTGGGGCACAGACTGCTGAGGATGGCCCAAAAGGATCATAACCATAATCATCTGCAGGACCATAGTCATATTGGCAAAAAATGCCACTAATCAATAACAGAAAGACGGGTAGAGAGTTTAAAGCCATCTTTGCAATGTATCTTGTCCCTGTAGGGTGAAAGGGAATAAAGAAGTTATAGCTTTAATTCTTTCTCTTTCAGCAATATTTGAAATTTTACCACATGAAGATTATAATTAAAAACTAATTAATTTAAACTACCTGTTTAAAGCTACTAATTAAGAAAAAAATACATTACTTTGTTAGTAATTCATTGTTACTACTATGAGCTTACAGTCCTTGTCTTGTCATCATCTGCTTTTATAATGCAAAATTACAGCCCATTCTGCTGTTGTAAGTAAAACATTCTTTGTATCTTCCTGCATTCATTCATTAAGTCACAAGAAGGATGATAAAGTCTAAGTTTTTTAAACTTGGCACAAAAGAGTTTTCAGTTTTGCTGAAGGCCGTGTTCAGAGGCATTTCTGCCATTTAAATGCTATCAAGCATTCCTGATATACTGAGTTGCCTTATATCTAAATAGCAGGTGGCAATTTGACTTAAGTTTGAAAGAGCCAGGGAATGAAAGAGCCAGGGAAATTACAAACTGAGGGTAATGATCTGCTGTATAGTGTATTGTTAAGATGCTTGTACCTTGAAATATCTTTACCTAACGGATCATGTCTAGTAAAGCATGATCCATTAAGTTTCATATTCACCTAAAGAACAAGCTAATAGAAATATGAAACATACTCTCCTGGACATGTCAAACAGCCAGCACTGCACGTGTGTGCACAAGTATACTCTATCTAATATGGATCTACAGTGGATCTGAAATGACCGAATTGCAGAAAGTGCAAATGTTCTTGCAAATTCTCTATATAACAATAAATGTGTTGATTACATTGTATGATCATTCTAAATCAACAGAATAATAAAGCACTGGCTTCACATAGTTGGTCTTTCAGCTCACATACAGCAAAAAGATGTTGTGTCCTTGGGATGTGGTCTCACCTTACTTTTTACGGGCATACCTTTCTTTGTCAGACACTCCGCAAGATGCTCATCTATGAAGATTAGTATCTTGCATTTATTTCTTGCTACCTAGATAGATGTTGTGTTGGAAACATGGGTCTAGCATCACCGAAGTCAGTCAACTTACTTTGATTTTCAACAGTAAAAGACAAGGCTCAGTGTATTCAGCTACTGTTCAGAGAGTAAGATGATTAGAAAATCCTTAGAACCTTTCTGTTCTCAAGTAATTTCAGAAAGTATGTGAAGCCTGTAAACAGACCACCAGACATCTATCTCAAATCTGGGCAATCTTCCAGCAGAGTAAGTTAATCTTGCTATTGGAATTGCCTAATATTACATAGAGTACATAGTGTTAAAATGCAGGGCCATAGCTAGAAAGTCTTCCTTAATTCTAAATTTCCTTACTTTTATTGACTTGATAAAAGCCACATCACATTCTAGTCAGCTAATGATCTCAACTGAAGTACCTTTGGGCAGGGCCTATTGATTTTGTACACTACAGCACGAAGATATTTAAAAAAATGTTCTTGTGTTATCTCCAGTCAATCACACAAAGTCCCTCTGCTAGATATTAAACTGTTGTCCCTTGAATAAGGAGGACGATTGCATATCTTTCCCGTGCTGTTGGTTCCATCGTATTTGCCTCATTACAAATTGTAGGAGCGAGCAAACGTTGAAAGATGAGTTATCAGTGTAATTTCCTTTGTCTGTTCTTCATTACTGCATGAGAACTGGCAAATTCAACCTTCAGTCCCCTGCTGGTATAAATAAGTACAGCTCCTCTGTAAGCAAAGACTGCAGTGACACAATTCAGCTCCAAATCTGGTCCTATTTAGGTACTAAACATTAAGGATGGGGGACTAACTGCTTCTGTGTTCAAAGTATAAGACAGAGTGTAATGAACTTCTCGGACTACACTCTTTGATCTTATTGTGACATTTTTACATATCTGCACCATTTTATAACCTTACTGATAAATTAGCATAAATATCCTATTTTAAATTCAAATTCTATTGTTGCTGTAGTTTCAAATTACATTTGTAAAGCTGAATTTTATTATTGATATCATAGGTTGCCAGTTCTTTTAAATAGTATACAATGTTTAACTAATCTGCAGAACCCTGGAAGTAATTTAAAACATTAAATAGCAAGTGTTTTGAATTATTTTGTCTAAAACATTTTAAAATGTAGGTGACAATTCTGTAGTGCAAAGGGATAGGAGCATGTGTGTGACATAGAACAGTGAAGTACATACACAGTGTAGTTAACTTGGTTTATTCATGGATTTCTCATTGAATTATCTAAATGTTTCTCTGTCAGAAGTGTAAAAGGTAGATTGTGTACACATGCTTGTTTGTTGCACTGAACTATATGAATCCAAAAGATAAAATCAGAATACATTCTTAGATGTTTATCTTATAACATAAGCATGCTTAAACTAATTGCCTGTGTTTGTTCTAATCAGTTATGTTGTAAAATACCTGTGAAAATATTTGCGAAGTTGTTCAGGCAACTTGCCAAAACATACTAAATGACAAATCCATGATTTTGGAGAAATGTTTACTATAGTAGAGTAGACAAGCTTTTCAAACAATTTTGTAGCTCATCTATACTACCTTAATTCTAAAGTTTTTGTGAAACAAAATAATCAGTCAGCCTTAAAATAAATGTACCTTTAATTCTACAGCATAACATCTTACACAGTTTGCAAAAGATTTAATTTTAAAAAGTTTCAGTAATATATTTAAAATGTGCTTTAAATTTAACTAAATTTTTAAAAACACCTATGATTTTCCTCTCATTATTTTCTTGAGTAATTATTCGAATATCAGGATACCTTGTCTTTTTGTAAAATGAAGAAAAATTATTTAATAAATGAAGTCTGTGGAGCTTTTACTAATAGCTTATGAATGAATAAGTAAGCAGTGAGTAGTCTTACAAATTTCTTTGTACTGTACATCATCTCTTCTTCTGAAGCAGAACAAAATGGACTGTAAAAAAAGTGTGACACTGATGCACAAAATATGTGAGGTTTTTTTAAGGAAAGTGAGAAAGCAAATCCACTAAGCAACTGTTGATTTGTGTTCAATTTACAAATTGGCAAACTTATCCTGACATGTTTTCACGTTCCCGTTACAGCTACATTTAAATAGCTGAACATTACGGTTAAAACATGCAGCAGCACTTACCTTACTGCCTTGAAGCTGCTTTCCTTAATTCCCAGAGCAGATGCAATAAGGGACTGTATCGACCAATATATGCTGTAAACAGTGTCAGGAGATAAAAGTCTGCCAGATCCTCTGTGTTACAAGAGAGAAAAAAAAAAAAGAAGAAGAAAAAAAAAAA